CTTTTTGCAGATGACATGATATTATACATAGAAAACCCGACAGACTCCACCAAAAGTCTGCTAGAACTGATACGTGAATTCAGCAAAGTCGCAGGATACAAAATTAATGTGCAGCCTAGTGTTTTGTTAGTAGACTCAAAAACTTCAGCAACTATAGGTCTTTTTTCTTGGTCAGGTCATTTTCCTAGAGGTGAATCCTCAAAATTCCTACCTAAGGGCAGCACTGCTTCCTGCCACCTCACTGGGGTGAGGCTGATACTCATTTTTCAGTATGTAAACTTGTTGCAAATGCCCCTGTTTTCATCATAAAGTCTAATGTCTATCCCTGTGAATCTTGTGCTCTCAGGTTCAGAGCCTTTCTTGATCAAAGTCTTCACAGAGCTAACTTGGCTCCAGTTTCTTGCTTGGGTGTGGTAAGAGAGTGGGTGGTGGCTTGGGTTGGGGAAAAGGGATCTAGAAGTGGTCTAGTTGTTCCTTATATAAATTTTCATTAATCCTCCGGATTTCACCCCATCCCAACACTTTGTCTTCAGAAGTATGTGACATTTCTGAGGCACGTGGGTAGCTCAGTCAGTTGTGTCTGACTTCAGCTCAGGTCATGATCTCACAGTTTCAAGAGTTCGAGCCCCGTGTCAGGCTATGTGCTGTCAGAGCATGCTCCTGATTCTGTGTGTCCCGCTCTCTCTCTGCCCCTACTCTGCTCATGATCTGTCTCCCAAAAATAAATAAAAACATTTAAAAAAAAAAAAGTACCTAAGATTTCTACTTCCAGAGACCATCTGTAGTTTTACAGGGGCAAGTGGTTCCTTTTTTACAGCAATGTAGACTATCAATTTTCTCTACTAAATCTGTTACCACACAGATCTGTTGTTTTTCATCTTGGAAAATTTTGTTGATACTTCTTATTTTTCTGTGGTCAACTCCCTCAAGTTCTGTCATTGTGGGTTTATGTCTTTGTAAATTCTTTTACTCTCATTTTTGAAAGAAGAGCAGAGAAAAATGCATGTGTTTGATATGCCTTGTTAAACCACAGGTCCTTGGCTGATTGTAAATAGTTCAGGATTTCTGTTCTGTCTAATGTAGTATCTGCTACTGGATCCTCACATGCAAAAAAGTGTCCTAAGTAGCAATGTTCTCTTACTTTTATTCCTTTTGAAACTTCAACATATATGTAATGTGAAATCAGCACAAAAATAACAGATCAGAAACCTTAAACTAGACAAATCATATATCTTATGTGAATGTTAATTATTTAATAGCCTAATATTCTAATGAGCCACTATGTATTTCCAACAAAGAACACTTTGGAGCTTTCAAACTCACAAAGCAACAATTTCACATATACAATCCAGTTAAACCAATATACTAATTACATTTAGAAACAAACTACTTAAGCTATCATGTCTTAATGAAAAACTAGTCAAGATGAAAACTCTCCATATCATTCCTAAATGATAAACATTTAAAAAATACACTGTACTATGTTAACTTTTCCCTCTAAAATATAGTTAGTATCATACTTTCTTTTTTTACACAAAATGATTATTTTTATACTCAAGGCATTTAGGCAATACATCATTATCTAAACCTATAGAAAAACTATTGTTTCCACTCCTCATCCCACCCAAGCCCCACTGCCATTAATGGAGACTTGAAAATTGGCATGTACTCACCAAATGCTTATCAAACAAAAATAAAAATATCAAATGGCTGAACACATACCTTGGTCCTGGTGGTTGTTTTGTTTTGTCTTCTTTCATTCCACACAAATGCAATAGCAGCCATAAAATGAACACCATGATTCATTGAAATGGGGCCCAATAATTCAAGGATCTGTTGTCTCAAGTTCTAAAACAATTTAAACAAATGACCAGTGGATTTTAGTTGTTTTTTTTTTAAATAATATATAATACTTTCATGTTTTGCTACCTAAATAACAGTAGAGGAAATTTTAATAGTGTTAAGAGATGCAATCATGGTCATTTTAATTGGAAAAGAAAATTTCTATATTTGACACTATATAATGACACTATATAATGACAACTGCTAATCAGCCAAATGCAACAGTCTCCAGAAATAATAGGAAAACATTATATATGAAGTTCAATTACATTTGATGTCGATTCCTTTAAAAAAGAAAAGGGTTTTTTTTTAAAGTAAAGTTATACAAAAGAAAAACAAAGTTTAATCTAAACCTAAGTATTTAGATAAAACTTTCTAATGGTGGAAAAGTTTCCACTCTTCTCCTTCCCTCAATTTCAGTTGTGTTCCCATTATTCCCAGATCTAGGGAGTCAGGTCAAGGAGTAAGAACAGGTAACTTGACAAAAGTTGTCAAATTCGACATATTATATTATTCAATTGAATAATTGAATAATATGCCTTGAAATATAATTTTCCTCTAAATATAAAGTAGAAAATTTGGAAAAGGCCTGAGTATGAGAAAAAAAATTTTTAACTCAACCATTAATCACATCATCCTGAGATAATCACTATTACTACATTAATTTCTTTTTCTGCATATAATTTTTCATGTAATTATAAATATAAGATTTGTTCAATTATGTGACATGCTAGTTTCAGTAGTTTTATACATTTTCCATCCACTAAGATTTTTTCAAAACTGCAATTATTAGGGGCCCCTGGGTGGCTCAGTCAGTTGAGCGTCTGACTTCAGCTCAGGTCATGATCTCACAGCTCTTGAGGTCGAGCCCCGCATCAGGCTCTGTGCTGAAAGCTCAGGGCCTGGAGCCTGCTTCAGATTCTGTGTTTCCTCTCTCTGCCCCTCACTGACTTGTGCTCTCTCTCAAAAAATAAGTAAATACATAAAAAAAACTTAAAAAAAAGTGCAATTATTAGTAGCTACATAATGTAACACTAAAAGAGTTAATGTAACCTTTTCCTTATTTACTGTTTAGGATCTTTGTGCCACTAAATAAGGCTATAAAGATATATAAAGATATCTATCCATCTATCTATAATATATCTATCTTTGCCTAATTTTGATTGCCTTAGAACTGATTACTAAAGTAGCTTACTAGGTCAGACTACCAAATTTTTAAAGTTCTCTGTACATATTGGTAAACTGTTTTCCAGGAGGACTTTGCATATTAAAATGTCAACTTTAGGGGCGCCTGGGTGGCGCAGTCGGTTAAGCGTCCGACTTCAGCCAGGTCACGATCTCGCGGTCCGTGAGTTCGAGCCCCGCGTCAGGCTCTGGGCTGATGGCTCAGAGCCTGGAGCCTGTTTCCGATTCTGTGTCTCCCTCTCTCTCTGCCCCTCCCCCGTTCATGCTCTGTCTCGCTCTGTCTCGCTCTGTCTTGCTCTGTCCCAAAAATAAATAAAAAAACGTTGAAAATAAAATTAAAAAAAAAAAATGTCAACTTTAAAAATCCTCAAGAAAGGGAACAAAATTATAATATGTATGAACGAACCTCAAAAACATTATGTCACATAAAAGAAGCCAGATACAAAAGACTAAATAACATGTGATTTCATTTATAAAAATGTCCAAAAAAACCAAACCTATATGTAGAGAAAACAGGTTAATGGTTGGTTGGAGTTGGTGATGAAAATAGGGAGTGACTGCAAATGGGCCCTGGAATCTTTTTGTGGTGATGAACATGTTCAAAAATTGTGGTGACAATGTACTAGAAAACTGTCCATGTACTAAGAAAAAAAATCATTGTACTGTATACACTTAAAATGGGTGAAATTTGTGATATATTTCTCAATGAAATAGTTAAAATTATTTGAGAATTAATTAATTTATGCAGCATGCTGCATACAATCTTTTCACGAGATGCTGAATACCATCTTTAGGAAAGTCCTTGAGGGGCGCCTGGGTGGCTCAGACGGTTGAGCGTCCGACTTCGGCTCAGGTCACGATCTCATGGTCCGTGAGTTCGAGCCCCGCGTCGGGCTCTGGGCTGATGGCTCAGAGCCTGGAGCCTGCTTCCGATTCTGTGTCTCCCTCTCTCTCTGACCCTCCCCCCTTCATGCTCTTGTCTCTGTCTCAAAAATAAATAAACGTTAAAAAAAAAAAA